TTCACTTTCATCAAACAACCAATAATATGTGTTAATTATAAACTATTTATGTAATTAGATTCCTATTTGGACCTTGGGGATGTTGCTCATTCCTGTAATTATTGTGGTGCTTTATTCTGGCGACACGAGCGCTTAAATCAAAATGTTACGTGAGGATTGCCAAAATACACAGTGTTGCTACGAGAGCAAGATCCAATTATCTCGCATGAACGATCCTCCTACTGTTCTCCAGAGGCTATACTTTGAGGATAATGATCCAAACAGACACTTCCTCAACAATATTCGAAGGTATAACAACATGTTATGCTTCACGTCTCTGGGAGGTAGAGTGGATAGGTCAATCAACATCGGTAACGCTCCTCCTGTTTTTAGGATAAGGGGTCAAAATTATCATTGGATTGGAAGTTTGGTTCCATGAGAAGGTTGTATGCCAAAGTTTGCACAACTATATATTTACGACAGAGATAATGAGATTAACAATCGTATCAATTCTATTACGTAAGTACTCAAATACGTTATACCTTTTGTTTCGCTTACACCAATAATGACAACTATTATTTACTTACTCGCGTTTGTTTGGAATGCAGAAGAAACCTTAACTTAGGGGGATTGTTTTTTGTATATGGTTACGGAGGAACAGACAGACGTTCGTGTGGAGAACATTATCTTCAAAGATAAGGAGCCGCAGAGATATTGTTCTAAACGTTGCTTCAAGTGGAATAGCATCTTTGCTTTTGCCGGGTGGCAGGACGACGCATTCTCGATTTGCTATACCGCTCTCAGTGAATTAAGATTCCACCTGCAATATATCGCAAGGCAGTGACCTTTGCGAACTTATAATCAGGACCAAATTGATAATATGGGATGAAGCACTGATGACACACAAATACTGTTTTGAGGCTTTAGACAAAGCCATGAGAGATCTATTGAGATTCACCATACCTGGTATTGATCAGAAAACATTTGGTGGAAAGACAGTAGTATTGGGCGGTGATTTTAGACATAGTCTTCCAGTTATTTCAAAAGCAACGAGACCAATGGTTGTGGGAGCCACTATTAATTCTTCATACCTCTGGAGGAATTGCATGGTATTGAGGCTCACGAAGAACCTAAGACTACAAAGCTTAGTTTCAAACGAAGATAAACAGCCGGTTGATTGGTTCTCAAGATGGATTGCAGACATCGGATATGAGATTACAGGGTTTTTAAACAATGGTTTGTTTGAGATCCATATTCCACCAAGGTTTATGTTAAAGTGTGGACCTGATCCAATTGCAACTATAGTTGAAATTAAAGCATCTTCCCAACCGCGAAGTATGGAATGCTAGAAGAGTCGCACCTAGAAGGACGGCCGATCCTCTCACCGACTTTAGATGTTGTTGATCAGACTAATCAATATATGTGTGACATGAACACTGCAGAAGGTCGGACGTATTTAAGATGTGACTCTTTCTGTAAGACAGAATCAGATGGTGATAATCTCTCACAAGTACACACTCTTGAATTTTTAAATAGCTTGAGATTGTCTAGACTTCCTAATCATTCATTGACAATAAAGGTTGGTGCACCTGTTATGTTACTGCAGAACATAGACCACTCTCTTGGTCTTTGCAACGCTACGCACCTCATTGTTACAAGATTGGCGGATCATATTGTCGAAGCAAGAATAGTTAATGGAGCGCAGCAAGGAAACAAAGTTCTTATACCACGAATGTCTCACACACCTTTTGATACGAGATTGTCATTCAAGTTCCAGCGTAAACAATTCCCGTTGATGCTAGCATATGCAATGACTATCAACAAAAGCGAGGGTCAAACACTAACTCACGTTGGTTTATTGTTGAAAAAATCAGTCCTTAATCACGATCAACTGTACGTGGCTTTTTCCCGAGTCACTCATCCTGATAGCCTTAAGGTTATAGCTCTAGACGAGGATGGACAAACTTCTGTTATTACTACTAATGTCGTCTACAGAGAGGTTTTCAACAATGTCTAATTCAAAACAGTTATATTATGTATTCTTCTTGCACCAATATAACAAAATTGTTACATATCTACATATTACGTATATATTTTGTTACAAAAATTTCTATAGCTAAATTACTACACATAAAGATAATGAGACAAATTAATTCAATTTCGAAACATTCATACAAACCTTAATTCAATGTTAAAATTTACACTATCGAATATAAAGCAAATTATAATTCATATATTATAACGAATATATTCCGTGCATCGCACAGGTGCAAATACTAGTTATTATTAGGACAAAGTACCTGCTAGGTCCCTGTACTGTAGTGTTTTGTTCAATTTAGTCCCTGTGCCTTAATTTTGTTTAATTTAATCCCTGTACTTTTAAATTTAGAACAATTAAGGATAAGACTTAACACCGTTTATTTTCTCCGTTATGTTTGCCCACGTGGCGTTGGATTTGCCATGTCATATTTTGTGACGTGGCATTACAATATTTTTTTCGGACAAAATGAAGTAGAGATTCAAACCCAAGATCACTTGCTTAGGGAAAACAGTCTTCACCACCAAGCTGCATACTAATCCTGATATAAGATAGTTAAAATTATTAATAAAGACTATTTTTCTGGATGTGGGCACCAAACTCACCACTACCAATAATATCTTAAATAGTAAGTCAAATATTCATTAATCACATAACATCTTAAATATTATTGTAATGTACTAATTTTAAACAAGTCACCAAATTTTTGATTATCTAAAAATATATGTATGTACCCAAATCGTATTAAGCAATAATACACTAATAAAAAATAATTTATGAATCAAATGAGTAATACACTGTATGTCTGTAATTTCGGCGTAGAGAGAAAGAAGATAGACGGTAGAATTTCTTCGTACCATCTATGAATATATTTTCCATTTTTATACTTTGGTACTTCAGCCGCAACATTTTTAACAATTTTGAAACAAGATTAATATATATATAGTTTGGTGGTGACGTCTTTATATTCTTTATGCAAGAGAACCCATGTTCAAATCTTGTTAGACTTTTTGTCCGAAAAAATATTGTAATGCCACGTCACAAAATATGATATGGCAAATACAACGTCACGTGGGTAAATTTAACAGAGAAAATAAACGGTGTTAAGTATTGTCTTTAATTGTTCTAAATTCTAAAGTACAAGGACTAAATTGAACAAAATTAAAGTATAGGGACTAAATTGAACAAAACGTTATATTACAGGGACCTAGCAGGTATTTTGACCATTATAACAATGCCCTTATATATCTTTTTACACCCCAATCACTAATAGTGAACTAATTTTAGCATATCACTAATAGTGAACTAATTTTACCATATCACTAATACAGTCCAACGGTCAAACCCTCTGACACCCCCTTCTGACACAATTCGCTAACCGCTGATTGTGAAATAAACCCAAAACGCCAAACAATCCGCTAACCGCTGATTGCGGAACCAGGCCAAAATGCCAAATTTGGCGGATATACCATTAACCAAACAAGGCCATTACTTATACCAGTAACCAAACAAGGCCATTACTTATTAGAGAGAAATCACCAACTGCAATAGAGGGGGAACATCACGAAGCCAAAAAAAAAAAAAAAAAAACACATTCTTTCTCCAATTGGTTTCTTTATACTGCTATATTGAAAAGGAATGGAATGGAAATGGGAAATAGACAGGACCAATATTATTTTATAAATATTATATTACTATTTTATTATATTATATTATTATTATATTAAAAGTCATAATAATTATTTGTATAAATTTAAAACCATATTTATTTATTTATTAAAACTTTCCAGCCGTGGATGAACTTGATACTTGGTTTTTGTTATAGAAGACAAAAAATAGTCCGGTCATAATAATATTAGGATTGAAAAGAATGCTACCCATATGAGCAGCTTATATTAGGATTGAAAGATTGAAAAGAATGTTACCCGTATGAGCAACTTAATTGATCATAGGAATAAAGTTTGAAAATAATGACTCAATTGAGTCTTACTAGCGGGTGTGGGATTAACCTCTCAAAGTGACGGGGGCTCTTTATCCTCCCAGATGCAAAGGATTAAAAACGAATTGATACCTACAAATCTAAGACAAAAAATGAAATTATAAAGAAGGGGTGGGGGGGCTGCTTCTCATCAAGATTCCTTTAGCAGGCATTGAAAGTGTAAAAACAACCACCTTCCAACTTCATATTCCCTTGCCAACGCACCTTCACAATAGTCATCTTTCAATCGAAAACTATTGCCAAAAAAAAGCAAGAAAGAATTCCAACCTGAAACCTGCAAAAGCTCACTGCTAAAATGTCTGTAAATATACATTCTTTATGCAGAAGCTTGAAGTAAAATAGAAATTGCACTTTTGAATAAAGTGTCAGCAGTAGTTTTGAGGCTCAGATCAGTGTTTTAATGGGGGATAGAGAGAAGCCCACACCGCCATGGCTGCAAATAACCAGGTTATGTTCCGGATTGCCATGCCAAGATACGGGTTGGATCAGCTCAGCTACCCAAATCAGCAGCCCAAAAAGGAAACACAGAAACAGAACAATATCATCATAGCCTCGCTAAGAGAATGAATCACGGTTGAATAGAACATATATGAGTAGAAACTAATGGAGATAGAACATCAGCAAAAGAGAACTTTCACAAGCACACCACCATGAAAATGGGAGAAATTTTTACCTTACTTGAACAGGACCTAAATAAATTACTGTAACAACATTCTATCTATCTTTCCATCTGTCTGCTTAATTCAATAATTCCCATTTCTCAGTAAAACAAAAAGGGCTGTTGAAAATGGAGAACTCACTGGCAGAAAAAACAGAGGGGTTCAACCACCCTTTCGCGAAAATCCCAAACTCTGCAGCCTCATTCCCTCTTCCTTTCTGGGCTGCATGGCCTATTTCTCAGGTAAAAAGCCTTTCCCTCTTCAGTCCGGCTTCCATGGAAGAATGTCAGGCATGAGATTACTATAAATTATTGTTGTTTTCTTGAAAAATGAAGGGCTGTTGGTTTTTTATTTCATGTAAATGAAAACAGAGAAATCATAAGCTGAAACCAAGAGGGGCAACCACCCTTAGAAGAAATCCCAGCTCTTGGTTCGCTTCATTTTTGCCATCTTTCTAAGTGAAACTTGTACCATCTTTAAAATGTATATAGAGACTGGGGCTCAGATTTTCATAATTCTGATATTTAAACACTTGACACCACCTTGGCTGCAAAATCCCAGCTAGTCAATGAGAAAATCCAGGTTGCCATGCCAAGACATGGGTCATATAATCAAAATACACTTACTTTGCTCGAAAGAATATCATCATTGCCCCATAATAAACTTTCTTTTCCTCTTCCATGGTTTGTGTTTTCAAATATTGACGTTGTGATTTGTAAGGTAAGCAAACACTGAACTGAGAATAGATAACACAATTACACAGAAGTAAAAACAGGAAATCAAGGTCTAACCAGAAAAGAGTTACCAACTATGGAAATTCGCCATTTCTCTGTAAACCCTCAATCTTTGAGCTTACACTTAGGGTCTGTTTACTAACCTGAGAGTATAGTATGGAAAACCTTGCTGAAATATATCCACAGAACCACAGATACATACACACACATATTGTGTGTGTGGAAGGGCTGTTGCATGGAAGAAACAAAAGCAAATCATAGGCTAACCAGAGAAGTGCAACCACCCAAAAAAAATCTCCATTTCTCGGTAAAGCCTCATTCTTTAAGTTGGAATGTAATAGGGCCGTAAAAGAACAGGTCTCCTATAGCTTGAGGCTCAGATTTGTTTTCATATGGAGGCAAGAGAGAAGCCAACATCGCCAAGGCTGCAAGAACCGGGCATATTCCGGACCACCCTGCCAAGTTACGGATCAGATCATCTCAAGTGCCCAAAATTAGTGGCCCAGAAAGAAGCAGAAACAGAAAAACATCATCACAGCCTCATATGGTGGAAACAATCTGGGTCAGTAGCATTTTTCCCTCATAAGATTGACACTTATAAATCTAAGACAAAAAATGAAATTATAGAGAGAGAAAGAGGGTGGGGGCTTCTCATCAAGATTCCTTTAGCAGCATTGAAAGTGTAAAAACAACAACCTTCCAACTTCATATTCCCTTGCCAAAGCACCTTCACAAGCGTCATCTTTCAATCCAAAACTATTTCCAAAAAAAAAAAAAAAAAAGAATTCCAACCTGACACCTGCAAAAGCTCACTGCTAAAATGTCTGTAAATCCAGATTGTTTATGCAGAAGCTTGAAGTAAAATAGAAATTGTACTTCTGAATAAAGTGTCAGCAGTACTTATGAGGCTCAGATCAGTGTTTTAATGGGGACAGAGAGAAGCCCACACCGCCATGGCTGCAAGTAACCGGTATGTTCTGGATTGCCATGCCAAGATACGGGTTGGATCAGCTCAGCTACCCAAACCAGCAGCCCAGAAAGGAAAATAGAAACAGAACAATATCATCATAGCCTCGCTAAGGGAAGGAATCACCGTTGAATAGAAGTAATAGTAACATTAACATATGAGTAGAAACTAATGGAGATACAACATCAGAGAACTTTCACAAGCACACCACCATGATAATGGGAGAAATTTTTACCATACAGTAACAAAGTTCTTTCTTTTTATCTGCTTAATTCAATAATTCCCATGTCTGAGTAAAACAAAAAGGGCTGTTGAAAATGGAGAAATCACCAGCAGAAAAACAGAGGGGTTAAACCACCCTTTCGAGAAAATCCCAAACTCTGCTGCCTCATTCACTCTTCCTTTCTGGGCTGCAGACCTATTTCTCAGGTCAAAAGCCTTTCCCTCTTCAGTCCGGCTTGCATGTGAGGAAACTCACACACTGTTCCATGGAAGAATGTCAGGCATGAGATGATTATATATTACTGTAGTTTTCTTGAGAAATGAAGGGCTGTTGGTTTCTTATTTTATGTAAATGAAAACAGAGAAATCATAAGCTGAAACCAAGAGGGGCAACCACCCTTAGAAGAAATCCCAGCTCTTGGTTCGCTTCATTTTTGCCATCTTTCTATGTGAAACCTATTCCATCTTTAAAATGTATATAGTGACTGAGGCTAAGATTTTCATACTTCTGATATTTAAACACTTGACACCACCTTGGCTGCAAAATCCCAGCTAGTCAATGAGAAAATCCAGGTTGCCATGCCAAGACATGGGCCATATTATCAAAATACACTTAATTTGCTTGAAAGTATATCATCATCGCCCCATAATCAACTTTCTTTTCCTCTTCCATGGTTTGTGTTTTCAAATATTGACGTTGTGGTTTGTAAGTTAAGCAAACACTGAACTAAGAATAGATAACACAATTACTCAGAACTAAAAACAATGATAGTGACTGAAACCGCAGTTGAATAAAAGGAAATGTTGAATCAATGGCTAACCAGAAAAGAGTTACCAACTATGGAAATTCTCCATTTCTCTGTAAACCCTCAATCTTTGAGCCGACACTTAGGATCCGTTTATTAACCGGAGAGTATCGTATGGCAAACCTTGCTGATATATAACCACAGATACACACACACACATATATCCACACATATTGTGTGTGGAAGGGCTGTTGCATGGAAGAAACAAAAGCAAATCATAGGCTAACCAGAGAAGTGCAACCACCCAAAAAAAATCTCCATTTCTCGGTAAAGCCTCATTCTTTAAGTCAATGACAAGGTCTCCTATAGCTTGAGGCTCAGATTTGTTTTCTAATGGGGGCAAGAGAAGCCAACATCGCCATGGCTGCAAAGAACAGGGCATATTCCGGACCACCCTGCCAAGTTACGGATCAGATCATCTCAAGTGCCCAAAATTAGTGGCCCAGAGAGAAGCAGAAACAGAAAAACATCATCATAGCCTCATATGGTGGAAACAATCTGGGTCAATAGCATTTTTCCCTCATAAGATTACAGGTAACCAAAGAATGTATCAGAAAACAGACTTCCACAAGCAGAAAGAAAAGGCTTTGAGAAGAACAACTTCAAAAGCAAATAATCACAGAATTTGTACGCTTTCCCTTTCTTTTTTGGGCAAAAAAGAATGAAAGGGCTGTTGGAAATGGAAAAATCATTGTCAAACAGAGGTGTCAACCACCCATTCAAGAAAATCCCAAATCTCTGCTGCCTCTTTCTCTCTTCCATTCTTGGCTATGTCAAAGGTGCATTGGGTGGCCGGTGAAGCTTGTATGAATTTTGATTATAAAACACATAATATACTTTGGGTGGTTGGTATAATATGAAATTGATTCATGCATAATTGTATAAACAGAGTTGCAATTAATATTAAGTTCCAAGTATGATAAAAGCAAAATGTTTTAAATCCAAACTTAATAGATAGTATAGATATTAATTAAATCTAAGATAGACATTATTCTTAAGGAAATGTATGATATTGGTATTTGGTTAGAAGACTGTTATTAAGTTTCTTTAATGAGAGTATAGGTATTAGATATGCAGTTCAATAAAAAATTTCCTTTGACAGCATAACAATGGCTGCAAATGCAATTAAAGATCATTCAGTTTTGAACTTGAAAGCAAACACATAGAGAGTATAAAATTTCTTTAATGAGAAGTATTAGACATGTACTTCACTAAAGAATTTCCTTTAAACCCAAAACCCTAAACCCAAAAAAAATAGAACTATATGTTCCACAGACATAACAGTACCAATAATATACTTAGTACACGTAGTAATGCACTAATCCTTAAGCTAGCAAGCTGAAACATCATATATATATATATACACACACACACACACAAGTAACACACAGTGTGTGAAAGGGGGTTGTTGCATGGAGTATATATATACACACACACACAAGTAACACACAGTGTGTGAAAGGGGGCTGTTGCATGGAGTATGAAAAGCAATCAAGGGCAAAACAGAGATGCGCAACCACCCATAAGAATTCCATATTCTCAGTAAAGCCTCATTCTTTGAGCCTGTTATAAAGAAAAGGGTTAAGGGTCAAATATATAGAGATTGAGGCTCAGATCCCTATAATTCCAGGATTGAAATGCTTGGCACCGCCATGGCTGCAAACCCCTGCTTGGGTGTGAAAATATTCACAAACAAGTCAAGGTTGCCCTGCCAAGATACAGGTCAAACATCTCACTACCATTGTTTGCTCAAAAGATCCATCATCACCGCCTCATAAACCTCTTCATATATCATATATATGTATTCAAACACACATATGCAGGAGTACAAAACCACAAAATTACCACCACGCAGCATATCAAGAACTATATAGTCCACAGCAACAACATTACCAGTAATATACTTACTACAAGTAGTAACACTAAAGCTTAAGCTAGCTAGCTGAATCATCATATATATATATGCAGGTTCACAGACACAGAGTGTGTGAAAGGGGGCTGTTGCATTGAGCATAAAGTGAAATCATGGGCAAACAGAGATGTGCAACCACCCACAAAAGTTCAATATTCTCTGTATAGCCTCATTCTTTGAGCACATTATAAGAAAAGGGATAAGGGTCAAATATATGCCCTCCTACTAGAAAGGGCCGGAAAACATCAACATCACCAGGAATCTTACTTTGAGGCTCAGCTCCGTGTTACTGATGGGGGCAAAAGAGAAGCCATCGCCGCCATGGCTGCAAACCCGGTATTATTCCGGGTTGCCCCGCCAAGATACGGGTCAGTTAATCTCAATTGCCCAGATAAGTAACACAGAAAGAACAGAAACCGAGAAATATCATCATCGCCTCACTTTCAAGTTTCAAGGCATCTAGCCATCCGACAGAGATTAAGTTAGCAGCAATAGTTTATAGAATACAGACAACCAAAAACAGAGTTTCCATGGAATGAGTGAAAAAGATTGGGAAAACAGCAGTAATTAAAACCAAATGAGGACAGAATGTAATATGTTTTGGAGCATTGTGGGCATTTTTGAGATTCCACGATTTAAACCTGCCAGCTGAGAATTGAACACTCCATTTGTAGGTTCATGGCGCCAAAAATTATGCTTCCATAACCACCAACCTGGAGATTGTTCATGGAAAAAGACTATAGAATATATGTCTGTTAGTGCAATAAAATATTCCAGATATAATTTTTACCACATTCAATTCTCAAGGTAAACTGTAATCCATCTGTGTGTATCTGTTCTATTTCATTTTCAGATGAACGGAAGGGCTGTTGAAATAAAGAGAAATCATTGGCAAGAACAGAGAAGGTCAACCACCCTTTCAACAAAAACCCAACTCTCTGTTGCCCCTTTCCCTCTCCATTTCTGAGCTACCTCTAAGATTCTTTTAGCCGATTATAAGTAATGGGATAAAGGGCAATTATATGCCTTCCTACTAGAAAGGGTCGGCAAACATCAACATCAACAGGATCCTAACTTTGAGGCTCAGCTCCGTGTTCCTGATAGGGGTAAAAGAGAAGCCATCGCCGCCATGGCTGCAAACCCGGTATTATTCCAGGTTGCCCCGCCAAGATACGGGTCAGTTAATCTCAATTGCCCAGATAAGTAGCTCAGAAAGCACAGAAACCGAGAAATATCATCATCGCCTCACTTTCAACTTTCAAGGCATCTAGCCATCCGACAAAGATTAAGCTAGCAGCAATAGTTTATAGAATACAGAATTACAGACAACCAAAAACAGAGTTTCCATGGAATGAGTGAAAAGAATTGGGAAACGAGCAGAAAACCTAAAACCAAATGAGATGTAATCCATCTGTGTGAATCAGTAATATTTCATTTCCAGAGGAACGAAAGGGCTGTTGAAATCTGGAGAAATCATTGGCAAGAACAGAGGTCAACCACCCTTTCAACAAAAACCCAACACTCTGTTGCCTCATTCCTCTCCATTTCTGAGCTACCATGTAAAGTACAGGGACACAATTAGGACTACATCCTCAATTTAAGCAACTACAGTAAGGTCCACACGAATTGGGGATCGGGGTCCACTCGCATTGTGGACCCGGGTCCACATGTAATGTAAACTGGATTCACGCACATTGCAAGGGTCCACACGCATTGTGAACCCGGGTCCACACGTATTGTCGACTGGATCCACGCACATTGCAGGGGTCCACACGCATTGTGGACCCAGGTCCACATGTATTGATGACTGGATCTACGCACATTGAGGATTGGGGTCCACACGTATTGTAGACTGGATCCTCAATTTAAGCAACTACAGTAGGGTCGACGCGCATTGTGGATCGGGGTCCACTCGTATTGTGGACCGGGTCCACATGTAATGTAAACTGGATTCACGCACATTGCAAGGGTCCACACGCATTGTGAACCCGGGTCCACACACATTGTGAACCCGGGTCCACACGTATTGTCAACGGGATCCACGCACATTGCAGGGGTCCACACGCATTGTGGACCCAGGTCCACACGTATTGTTGACTGGATCCACGCACATTGAGGATTGGGGTCCACACGTATTGTAGACTGGATCCTCATTTTAAGCAACTACAGTAGGGTCCACGCGCATTGTGGATCCGGTCCACTCGCATTGTGGACCCAGGTCCACATGTAATGTAAACTGGATTCACGCGCATTGCAAGGGTCCACAAGCATTGTGAACCCGAGTCCACACGTATTGTCGACTGGATCCACGCACATTGCAGGGGTCCACACGCATTGTGGACCCAGGTCCACACGTATTGTAGACTGGATCCACGCACATTGAGGATTGGGGTCCACACGTATTGTAGACTGGATCCTCAATTTAAGCAACTACAGTAGGGTCCACGCACATTGTGGATCGGGGTCCACTCGCATTGTGGACCCGGGTCCACATGTATTGTAAACTGGATCTACGCAAATTGGAAGGGTCCACACGCATTGTGAACCGAGTCCACACGTATTATGGACTGGATCCACGCACATTGCAGGGGCCCACAGACATTGTGGACCCAATTCCACACGTATTGTTGACTGGATCCACGCACTTTGAGGATTGGGGTCCAACGCATTGTGGACCCGGGTCCACACGTATTGTAGACTGGATCCACACACATTGTGGTCCCGGGTCCACACACCCGCACATTGCAGGGGTCCACAAGCATTGTGGGCCGGGGTCCACATGTATTGTGGAATGGATCCACGCACATTGGAGGGGTCCACATGCATTGTGGACTAAATTCACGCACATTGCAGACCGGGGTCCACACGCATTGTGAATTGGAATTCAAGCTGAAACTGGACCAGATTATATATATATATATATATATATATATATATATTTATATATATGTAGTTAACACATTATGTATTTTCAAATAAGTGACCAGGGTGCACATTTATTGTGGACAGGATCCACGCGCATTGCAGAATCTGGATTTAAGCTGAACATAGACAAAATTATATATATATATACTTAACATACTACGTATTTTCAGATTATGGACCGGGGTCCATGCATATTATGCGCTGGATCCACGCGCATTTAGACCGAGGTCCGCGTACATTGTGAACCAGGATTCAAGCTAAAACTAGACCAGATTATGTATAATTATAGTTAACATATTATGTATTTTAAGTTAACAAATCATGTATACTCAGTTATGATTGAATATGCATAATATTTTAACTAAATGTACATAATTTGTTAACGGTAAGTGCATACTCTGGGTAAAAAGATGTATATATGTATCTATATATACAAAACTCTCCATCAGATATTCTTTTAGAGTATTCTAAGTTCTAGTCAAATTGGCCTCACAAAGTATAATTTTATTCATAAATACCTGATCTATATATAAATATATATATATACACACACACACACACAAACAAGTTCACAGAGAGGGAGTGTGTGAAAGGCGGCTGTTGGATTGAGTATAAAGAGAAATCTTGGGCAAAACAGAGATGTGCAACCACCCATTCTCTGTAAAGCCTCATTCTTTTGAGTAGATTATAAACAAAAAGGAATAAGTTTCAAATATCAACAGTGACAGATTTCTTACTTTGAGGCTCAGCTCCGTGTTACTGATGGGGGCAAAAGAGAAGCCATAGCCACCATGGCTGCAAACCGGGATAATCTTGGGTCACCCTGCCAAGATACGTGTCAGTTATTCTCAAATGTCCAGAAAGAACAGAAACAGAGAAATATCATCAACATTGCCTCAATTTCAAGGCATCTAGCAATCCAACCAAGCTTAAGCTAGTAGGAATAGTTTACAGAATACAGATGAAAAATGAGTTTCCGTCAAATTGGGTGAAAGGGATTGTGAAAACAGCAATACTTAACCAAATGATGACAGAATATAATAAATATAATCTATCTATCTGTGTATGTTATATTCCATTTCCAAATAACGAAAAGTCTGTTGAAAAATAGAGAAATGGTTGGCAAGAACAGAGAAGACCAACCACCCTTTAAACAAAATCCCAACACTCAGTTGCCTCTTTCCCTCTTCATTTCTGAGCTTCCTCAAAAGATACAGAGACACATTAGTTTAGGGTTAAGATTAAAGCCTCTATTATAAGACTAAGTTTACCCGTGCAATGCTTTCTCACTTTCAAGGTGCACTTTGGGCTTCAACTAAATCTTTCTTCTAACGAAATAACATTATATCAATAATTAGCTGTTCAATCTAGGTTCATAATCAAATTTGTACAGTGCAGACTTCATTTTCCAACTTTTTCACCTAGCATCTGGCATCAGATAGACTTAGTAGTGAAAAAAAAAGCAGCAAAACACACACACACACACAGTATTAAGTTTCTTTAATGAGCAAAGGTATTACTGTATTAGATATGTAGTTCAATAAAGAATTTCCTTTGACGGCATAATAATGGCTGCAATCTAGATTAAAGAACATTTAGTTTTGAACTTGAAAGCAAACACATAGAGTATTAAATTCTTTAATGAGGATAAGTATTAGATATGTAATTAAATAAAGAATTTCCTTTGATTAGCATAACAATGGCAGCAAATGCAATTAAAGATCATTCACACATACACACATTCATGAGTACAAAACCACCAAATTACCATCACGCAGCAAATCAATAACTATATGGTCCACAGCAGTCAGCAATAACATTACCAATAATATACTTACTACAGGTAGTAACTCACTAAAGCTTAGCTAGATAGCTGAAACATCATACGGATTACGGAGTATATATATACACACACACAAACACCGGTTCACAGACACGGAGTGTGTGAAAGGGGGCTGTTGCATTGAGTATAAAGAGAAATCATGGGCAAAGCAGAGATTTGCAACCACCCATAAAAGTTCCATATTCTCTGTAAAGCCTCATTCTTTGAGCCGATAATAAAGAAAAGGGGTAAGGGTCAAATATATGCCCTTCTACAGTCCTACTAGAAAGGGTTGGCAAACATCAACATCAACACGATTCTTACTTTGTGGCTCAGCTCCATGTTCTTGATAGGGGTAAAAGAGAAGCCATTGCCGCTATGGCTGCAAAATCGGTATTATTCCGGGTTGCCCCGCCAAGATACGGGTCAGTTAATCTCAATTGCCCAGATAAGTAGCTCAGAAAGAACAGAAACCAAGAAATATCATCATCGCCTCACTTTCAAGCTTCAAGGCATCTAGCCATCCAACAGAGATTAAGCTAGCAGCAATAGTTTATAGAATACAGACAACCAAAAACAGAGTTTCCATGGAATGTAATATATCTAATCCATTTCCAGAGTAACGAAAGGGCTGTTGAAATATGGAGAAATCATTGGCAAGAACAGAGAAGGTCAACCACCCTTTCAACAAAAACCCCCAACTCTCTGTTGCCTCTTTCCCTCTCCATTTCTGAGCTACCTCGTAAAGAACAGGGACACAGTTAGGACTACAGCCTCAATTTAAGCAATTACAGTAGGGTCCACGCGCATTGTGGACCCGGGTCCACGCGCATTGTGGACCCAGGTCCACGCGCATTGTGGACCTGGGTCCACATGTATTGTAAACTGGATTGACGCACATTGCAAGGGTCCACACGCATTGTTGACAGGATTCATGCACATTGCAGGGATCTAAACGCATTGTGGACCCGGATCCATGCACATTGCAGGGGTCTACACGCATTGTGGACCCGGATCCAAACATATTGTCGACTAGATCCACGCACATTGCAGGGGTCCACACGCATTGTGGACCCAGGTTCACACGCATTGTGGACCCAGGTTCACACGTATTGTGGACTGGATACACGCACATTGAGGATCAGGGTCCACACGCATTGTGGACCCGGGTCCACACGTATTGTAAACTGGATCCGTGCACATTACAAGGGTCCACACGTATTGTGGACCAGATCAACGCACATTGCAGGGGTCCACACGTATTGTGAACTAGATCCGCGCACATTGCAAGGGTCCAAATGCATTGTGGACCCAGGTCCACACGTATTGTGGACTGGATCCACGCACATTGCACGGTCGACACGCATGAGTGTAGGACTGGATCCACGCACATTGCAGACCAGGGTCCACACGCATTTTGAATCAGAATTCAAGCTGAAATTGGACCAGATTATCTGTATATATGTAGTTAACACATTATGTATTTTCAAATTATTTACCAGGGTGCACACTTATTGTTGACAGGATCCACGCGCATTGCACAATCTGGATTTAAGCTGAACTTGGACAAGATTATGTATATATATAGTTAACATATTACGTATTTTCAGAATATGGAGGGGTCCACGCGTATTATGGGCTTGATCCACACGCATTTAGACCGAGGTCCACATGCATTGTGAACCGGGATTCAAGGTAAAACTAGACCAGATTATGTATAATATTATGTATTTTAAGTTAACAAATCATGTATATTCAGTTATGACTGAATATGCATAATATGTGAACTAAATATACATAATTTGTTAATTTGTTAACTGTATGTGCATACTCTGGGCAAAAAGATGTATATATGTATATATGTATCTATATATACAAAAATCTCCATCACATATTCTTTTAGAGTATTCTAAGTTCTAGTCAAATTGGCCTCGTAAAGTATAATTTTATTCATAAAATACCTGATCTAAAACTATATATATATATATATATATATATATATATATATATATATATATATATATATATATATATATATACACACACACACACACACAGGTTCACAGAGAGGGAGTGTGTGAAAGGGGGCTGTTGGATTGAGTATAAAGAGATATCTTGGGCAAAACAGAGATGTGCAACCACCCATTCTCTGTAAAGCCTCATTCTTTGAGCAGATTATAAACAAAAAGGGATAAGTTTCAAATATATGCCATCCAACTAGAAATGTCTGTCAAACATCAACAGTGACAGATTTCTTACTTTGAGGCTCAGCTCCGTGTTACTGATGGGGGCAAAAGAGAAGCCATAGCCACCATGGCTGCAAACCGGGATAATCTTGGGTCACCCTGCCAAGATACGTGTCAGTTATTCTCAAATGTCCAGAAAGAACAGAAACAGAGAAATATCATCAACATTGCCTCAATTTCAAGGCATCTAGCAATCCAACCAAGCTTAAGCTAGTAGGAATAGTTTACAGAATACAGATGAAAAAAGGAGTTTCTGTAAAATTGGGTGAAAGGGATTGTGAAAATGGCAATATTTAACCAAATGAGGACAGAATATAATACATATAATCTATCTATCTGTGTATGTTATATTCCATTTCCAAATAACGAAAAGTCTGTTGAAAAATGGAGAAATGATTGGCAAGAACAGAGAAGACCAACCACCCTTTAAACAAAATCCCAACACTCAGTTGCCTCTTTCCCTCTTCATTTCTGAGCTTCCTCAAAAGGTACAAAGACACATTAGTTTAGGGTTAAGATTAAAGCCTCTATTATAAGACTAAGTTTACCCGTGCAATGCTTTCTCACTTTCAAGGTGCACTTTGGGCTTCAACTAAATCTTTCTTCTAATGAAATAACATTATATCAATAATTATTGGTTCAACCTAGGTTCATAATCAAATTTGTACAGTGCAGACTTCATTTTCCATCCTTTTCACCTAGCATCTGGCATCAGATGACTTAGTAGTGCAAAAAAAGCAGCCAAACACACACACACACAGAGTATTAAGTTTCTTTAATGAGTAAAGGTATTACTGTATTAGATATGTAGTTCAATAAAGAATTTCCTTTAACGGCATAATAATGGCTGCAATCTTGATTAAAGAACATTTAGTTTTGAACTTGAAAGTATTAAATTTCTTTCAATGAGTAGATCCATAAAGAATTAGATATGTAATTCAATAAAGAATTTCCTTCGATAGCATAACAATGGCGCAAATGCAATTAAAGATTATTTACTTTTGAACTTGAGCTACTAATGGATAATGCAGCAGTCAAATATATAGATGTTGAGGCTCAGATCCCTATAATTCCAGGATTGAAATGCTTGGCACTGCCATGGCTGCAAACCCCAGCTTGAGTGCGAAAATATTCACAAACAAGTCCAGGTTGCCCTGCCAAGATACAGCTAAATCATCTCAATACCATTTTTTGCTCAAAAGATCCATCATCATCACCACCTCGTAAATCTCTTTATATATATGTTTTCCTACATACACACATTCATGAGTACAAAACCACCAAATTACCACCACGCAGCAAATCAATAACTATACGGTCCACAGCAATAACATTACCAATAATATACTTACTACAGGTAGTAACTCACTAAAGCTGAAGCTAGATAGCTGAAACATCATATATACGGAGTATATATATATATATATATATATATATATATACACACACACCGGTTCACAGACACGGAGTGTGTGAAAGGGGGCTGTTGCATTGAGTATAAAGAGAAATCATGGGCAAAGCAGAGATTGCAACCACCCATAAAAATTCCATATTCTCTGTAAAGCCTCATTCTTTGAGCCAATTATAAAGAAAAGGGATAAGGGTCAAATATATGCCCTCCTACTAGAAAGGGTCGGCAATCATCAACATCAACAGGATTCTTACTTTGAGGCTCAGCTCCGTGTTCCTGATAGGGGCAAAAGAGAAGCCATCGCCGCCATGGCTGCAAAACCGGTGTTATTCCGGGTTGCCCCGCCAAGATACGGGTCAGTTAATCTCAATTGCCCAGATGAGTAGCTCAGAAAGAACAGAAACCGAGAAATATCATCATCGCCTCACTTTCAAGTTTCAAGGCATCTATCTATCTAGCCATCCGACATAGATTAAGCTAGCAGCAACAGTTTACAGATTACAGACGACCAAAAACAGAGTTTCCATGGAATGATTGAAAAAGGTTGGGAAAACAGCAGTAATTAAAACCAAACGAGGGTAGAATGTACTATATATAATCCATCTATATTATTCCATTTCCAGAAGAACGAAAGGGCTGTTGAAATATGGAGAAATCATTGGCAAGAACAGAGAAGGTCAACCACCCTTTCAACAAAAACCAGACTCTCTGTTGCCTCTTTCACTCTCCATTTCTGAGCTTCCTCGAAAAGTACGGAGACACAGAGTTAGGATTACAGCCTCTATATAAGGAGTGTAGTGTAAGGTCCACCGTCCACGCACATTTCAGACCGGGATTCCACATGTATTCTGCACTGAATCTGCACGACATTGCAAACCGGGTTCCACACTCATTGTTGAATTGGTATTCTAGTTGAACTTGGACCAAATTACGTATATATATTTTGAAAGCAAAAATTATGTATATTTACTATTAACATATTACATTTTTTCATATTATGAATCGGGATCCACACGTATTGTGCACTGAATCCACACGCACTGCAAAATGGGTTTGTTTACTGAAATTTAATTACCCCATTCAATATAAAATGAGTATCATTTCATGTTATTAGTAATTTAATTTTTAAACTTAGTTTAGTACTTTTAAATTTTTATTTTGATTTTTTTGTTCATATTGATGCTTTAGATGTCATTATTATCTTAAGATCAATTGCCTTGATTTTTTGTTTTTATATTTTAAAAATATTTTTTTTTTTATAATTACCAGCGCTTTACACCTTAATTAGACCGACTCAATGTGAATATGAATTAGTTTGGATATAGTACAAACTAAATACCAGGGTTGCAAAAATCCCGCCTAGGCACCGAGTAATCGGCGCCTAGGCGCTAGGCGCCCCTAGGCCGTGGCGATTTCTCCCCTAGGCTCCCGCCTAGGAGAGCCGCCTAGCGCCTAATTCGGCCGCCTAGCGCCTGACTCGACCGATTACACCGAGTTAACTCGTCAATTTCTGTCGAGTTAGCCGAGTTAACCCGACCGACTCGACCTTGCTAATTTTTTTCATTTATATGACACACACACACACACACACACACACACACACACATATATATATATATATATATATATATATATATATATATATATATATATGTGTGTGTGTGTGTGTGTGTGTGTGTATGTATGTATGTATAATATGACATATATGCACCTATGTATGTATGTATATATGTATGCATAATATGACATATATGCACCTACACACGTGCACTGTTTTTCATTTTTTCAGTTAGCCGCCTAGGTGACCGCCTAGGCCGTCTAAGCGCTAGGCGCTACTTTACCGCCCGACTAGCGCCTAGCGCCTATTGCAACCATGCTAAATACGTCTCGTATAATTAAGATATGCTCAGGACATCAGTACAAAAAATATAAGGGGTATCTGTTTAGTGATAGTGAAGTTGGTAAGCAGGAAAACAGAAGAAAAATATTCTGTGAATCCTCCACCCTTCCTGTTCTCATTAAAAGTCTCAAAATGAATGAAATTGGTGTCATAGTGTCAGCTGGTGACCATGATCAGCAGACTAGCACAAGAAACAAGAAAAAAAAAACACTATCTTCTATGGCACTTGAATATATGCCATTACTAATTACAACATTGACAATAATTACAACATTATAATTACTATTTACGACTAAGCAATAGCAAAAAAATACAATCAGCCAGTGGGAGAAAACAAACAGCTTCAGAATATGATCACACCTCCATCTACTATCCAGCACTAGTGCGTTCTTTATCTTAGTATTTCTACCTCAATCAAGTCCTTCACAGTCCAAGTACGAAACTGAGCCTCAATGCTCAAAATTTCATTTACTAGGACAAATACAATGGGTGTTGTTGATATTGAGATATTGACCTTATTTGGCAATTAGCGAATTGTGTCAGTGAGTTTGACCAGCGGATTATGTTAGCAATTTGTAAAGAAATGTTTGGTGGATAGCAAATTATGTCAGCAAGTTTGACCGGCGGGTTATCTTAGCAATTTTTAAAGAAAATGTTTACTATTAACGGTTGAAGTGTAAATGACATGGGCATTGCTACAACAACAATAATACAGAATAATGATTATAATTACAATTATAATATATTATTATTATTGTTGTTGAAAAAAAAAAAAACAATACAATACAAAGGAGAACCAAATTGACTCTCCTTTGTATTTCTGCGGTTGTTCTACATCGGTGGGAGAACGCTGAGGGGCCTTATTCCTCTAGGAGCTTCAAGACTCTTTAATTTTTTCTTCCCATTCAATGTTATCCCACATCAAATGAGAAGAAGAAACAAGCTCAAGTCTATTGAGTAGACTTGAGACAATACTTAATTCATTTTTTTAAAAATGTCTTTTTCCAAAACGCCAAACCCCATACGTTGCTATTTGAAGACGTTTGGGTTTGTTTGGTAAGAAGTGGTTCAGAGCAGCATTTTTACTCCAAATCGTTGAAACCCAAACGCTGCAAATAACAGAATAGAACTAAATATTGCCTCAAGTCTCCTCAGGAACCTTGAGGCTCCTTTCAAGGCCCCTCGATGTTCTTCCACCGATGTGAGACAACACAAAAATACAAAAGTGAGCAAATTTGACACCCCTTTGTATTGTGTTGGTTTTTTTTTTTTTTTTCCAACAACAACAATAATAATATATATAACAATATATTATAATTATAATTATAAGTATTATGATGTATTATTATTATTGTAATAATAATAATTATTATTATTATAATAATGCCCTTATATATCTTTTTACACCCCAATCGCTAATAGTGAACTAATTTTAGAATATCGCTAATAGTGAGCTAATTTTACCATATCACTAATACAATCTAACAGTCAAACCCTCTAACACAATCCGCTAACGACTGATTGCGGAACAAAGCCAAAACGCCAAACAATCCGCTAACTACTGATTGCGGAACAAGGCCAAAATGCCAAAATTGGCAGATCTACCATTAACCAAACAAGGCCATTTCTTATTAGAGAGGAATCACCAACTGCAATAGAGGGGGAACAGCACCAAGCAAAAAAACACACATTCTTTCTCCAATTGGTTTCTTTATACTGCTATATTGAAAAGGAATGGAATGAAAATGGGAAATTTTCATTCCCAAACTAGTAGAGGAGTGTGAGGCTCAGATTTCATAGGAGTACTAGACACTGCCATGGCTGCAGAACCCTGATGCAATGCTTGCAATCAAAGTTGCCTTGCCAAGATGCAGGTCAGATTGCTTAATAGTTAATACCAAATCAATTTTCTTAGACAAAGAGTATTATCATCACAGCCTCCAGTCTTTATTTTATTTATTTTGAGGGGAAAATGAAGGATGAGTAGCTCACTAGCTCAGCAAGAGTCGGCAACCATTATCATAGAAACACTCATAGTGGAAGAAATCATTGGCATAGCAGAGCAGGCAAACCAACTCCCCACTCTGAAGCCCCA